AGTGGCTAAACCTATTTCTGACCCACATTAAGGTGCAGTTCAAACATGCCTTGAAAATAAAGCAACCATTCAGCAGAGGACTAGGGAGATGTCAAGGACAAACAAGTAACTTAAGTTAAATTGCAAGACCTGCTTTGTGACCCCAATCTATGAACACTGCAAGAAATGATGTCTGTCTTTTCTAGTGATCTCACATCACTTCAGACAGAGTTGAAACATCAGGTTATTTTTATTAAAACAAGCTACACACAGGCTACAAAGTTCAAAATGAATCCTGAAAATGAAAGTATATGGCACTGTCAGCAAAAATTATTCAAAGAAATACTTTTTAAAGTGCTGTTTGCCCCCTTCCCCCAGTTGTGCTTTAACGTATTTCTGAAGAGCTCCAGAGGTAAGTTATTCCCTTATCAGACAGCAGATGTACCTTGATAATTTTTTCTTATAAAACTACAGCCCATCACAGGCACAGAAACTGCATTACAGGTCCACTTTTATTGTCAGAAATGCATTAGTTAAAGCCTAATCATACCTCCCCTTGCATATTCAATTCAGGGGAAATAGATAATGAAAAATGTGATTAACATGAAAAAAGATCTTCATTAAAACAGGAATTTTTGGGGAACTAAAATATTTCTTTAATCACTGTAATTTTAATGGAGTAGATGGGTATAAACCAGTCGAGTGCCAAATACGTCGTTTTTTAAAGCAGCAAAACAGCTTGATACTCTGAGAGCAGATGTTCCAAAGCAGATGACGTGAATTTGTCCTCTAGAACATCATCAGCTGCTTTTCCTTCTCCACTGTAAAGCTTAAGCCCTTAAGAAGAAAATAAATCATTTCCAGTGGTGACGTGCTGCAATTCATTTTTTCTCTGAGATGTTTTCAAGGCGTGGATGCACACCAACCCCGTTTTCCTAAAACCTACTCCACAGACATCATTCAACTAGAAGAAACAAGCGTAAAACTTAGTTTTCCTTTCCCTCAGTCACCACTTTGGAAGCATACTGAGGACACTGCACGTACCCAAAGTAAGTTCCATCTCTGTCAATGAAGTATCTGCCTTCGGCATCCGTGGGGATGTAATGCCTTCCGCTGAACATCGCCGCCAACATCGTGTCCTCGTAACGCCTCAGCGTTGACAGCCTTGTAGTGAAATACATGCCTCCTACATTCAGTGGGACGACTTCTGGGAACTGGAAAAGCGATCACACTGTCAGAAATGAGCCCCCAGTGCTCTGTAGTTACGCGCAGGCCAAGTGGGTGGGGATTTGCAGAAGACCCAGCATACAATCTGTGCCACCGCGACAAAACTTGGTCTGACAAATGCCTCTGCCCTGCTGCCACAAAGCAATGAGCTTCATGGGTTAACACCTTATATACCCCGGATGCTGTCTGGGTGAATTTTAGACAGAAATCTGGAACAGCACTGGTCACTACAGCTTTAATACCAGATATCTGTTAAAAGTGTGAATGCCTCCTTTTGGCTCATACTGAGGAAGAAAATAAATCAGAAACAAAACAAAACAAAAACAACTCCTCCTTTCCCACGCATGAATAAAAAGGGGAGGAGATACATAGTCCAAGGCCAACCCTGGCACCTGCACTTGGCTGCTGCTCCATTGGTTCCCTTACAGCACACTGGCAAATCAGTGATTCTGCACTTAAATGAAGCTGACAGCAGGCCCCAAAATCTTAGCATCACATTGCATCACACTATAAGCCGCCTCGCTGTCAGAATAAAGACTTACTTGTATTTGTCAAGCTCAAGCAGGAATGGAGAAGGGGAGCAATCGCTGTAATTAAAGGGCTTTGCTCCAATTCGAGCTGAACCTGCGCTGACAGCCCGGGAGAGACGCGGGTTCGTGGCGCTGAGCAGCGGGAGCCGGGGCTGGGCAGCGAGCAGCCCTTACCTGCTGGGGCAGCAGCGGCAGCGCCTGGCCCGCCTGGGTGGCCGTGGGAGTGGCTGGCTCTTGGAAGTCATCCTCTGCATCCGAGCTCGACATGGCCTCATCCGGGTCTCCGCTCCCTTTGCTCTGCCCTGTGACTACCACCATCCCTCTGGCTCTGCCCAGCAGCAGCCGCGGCACTGCTCACGGGAAGCGAGACCCCGGTCAGGCGGGCGCCCTCCCACCCCACGCGGTTGCGGAGGGTCACGTGGCGGGCGGGGCGCGCGCTGGCGGCTGCACGGGGACCGGCCCACGGGCAGCGCCGGCACCGGCGGGCGGGGCTGGGCCGCGGCCAGCGGGGCTCCTCCGCCAGCACGGCCCCACCAGCCGCGGGGTACGAGCCCGACGCCCATTGGCCGCGCAGCGCACTGCCGCGCGCTGCCATTGGCTAGCGGGATGAGGGCGGTCCGCCCGCCGGCAGCGATAGGCCCGCGGCAGAGCGCGCTCCCGCCCCGCTCCCGCCTCCTGCTGGCGGCGGCGCGCCCCGGGCTCCAGGTGCGGAGCGGCGGCCCCGCGTTACGTAAAAGGCTGCCGTGCATCACAGCGCCCGGACGCGCTGACACCGCTGGGGGTCCCGTCCCGCTCCCCGCCTCCCTCCGATCGCTGTAAATTATTAAAGGAGGAGGAGCATCTGCTACCTGGGCGCTGCTTTTCGACTACATAAATGTTTCATAACGACTGCCTGTAATCCCCAGCAACAAGAAGTAGCGACATGAAATATTTATGGCTACGATTAACCGTTGTGTGTGGCTAACTGCGAATACAGACACCATGATCCTCCCTTAGCAAGACAGCAAGGTTTAGGAAAAGAAAATGTCTGTGTAAGTTAATGAGTACACATGATAATCTTTGGAACTGCTGCACAACCTCCTCCATAGCGAGGTTCACATCAGAAGACCTCAGCCCATACTTAGTGCAGGGTTTTAAGACGAATATGGCACTAGCAGTGGGTAACCAGCCACAACAGCACGTCTCTACTAACCATCGCAATAAATAAACAAACCCTGTAACTAAGTAAACGCATCCATTTCATGCTCAAGGGTGTCCAGGGCCAACTCAACAGATAATTAAGGAGAATGCATCATCGCTCAACAAAATGATTTCTAAATCAAATATTTATTTGAGCCATGTCAGCACCATCCAACTCTACCAGAGATTCCTCCTCCTGGTTTACGAGCGCCTTGTCATTGGAATGGCCTGGTCTGCTTCCCTGAGCTTTTCTGACTGCTCAGATGCTGCCTCAAACACACACACAAAGGTTACTGAACTGGACCTGCAGGTCGTGCTTCATTCCCTGGGCAATGGCAGCAGTCCCAGAGCTGCATTAGGAATGCGTGCTGAGAATAAGATTAAAAACAAAAAAAGCCTCTCAAGGCACTGCTGTACCCTCAGCTTTTCTATGTTGGCTGCAGCAACCTTCTCCTAAACACCTTCTGAGGTTATACTGCTGGCAAAGTTGTATCCCTATAGAAAAGTGACCCAACCACGGCACAACCAAATGCCATCAGAGCAGAGATCTATGAACCCAACACAGGGATCTGCCAACCCACACGGGTGCTAATAAAGCCAACCCATGGGAGCTGTATTTGGCCCTGCGTTCTGTCTGCGGCATTCAGATATGAAGGTTTGCTTGCGTGAGCAAAGCAGAACAGACAAGGCGTCCAGATACAGCAATCCTAATAAATCTGTGTACAAAGACCAAACAGACGCTCTGATGCAGGGCGGGGATCCCTGAACTCGCTGTGAATCAGACTGTAAAACTCCACACAGTTAGTGTAACTGATTATTAGTGAGAAGTGGCACAGATTGAGATGGGAGCACACCACAGCTTCTGCATTAGGCCACGGAGAGATGCGTAAGAGCAAGACATGCAGTGTGTGAGGGGAAGGCTCCCTGCCAGCAGAAATCTCCTCACACCAAGGTGGGGCAGGGGGAGGCCTGATTGGAGATAAAGGCTGCCTAGGCAAGCCGGGTGCTCGATTAATTAAGTATTAACTAGGCAGCTAAACGCCAGCTGTGGCTTAGCACCTTGCCAGGTCCTGTTAAGCATCAGTGGGGTTCAGCACAGCTGGGTTCTGGCGGCGTGACAGGCGAGGGCGGCGCCCTCCCCTCAGACCGCCATTTCCCACACCGCCATCTGGCGGCCGCGCTGAGGAACTGCGGGGAAACACCTGCGGCCGCGCGGAGAAAAGGGCGGGAAGCGGGGCGGGCCTCACCGCGCCGAGCGGCAGCACTGCGGTGCGCAGGCACCAGGGGGCGCACCCGCCTCACTTTTGCATCTCTTCAGTTCTAAGGAGGATTTGGTGCCCGGTTGGGTAGCAGGGGAATCCCTTCCCCGCAGGCACCCAAAAGCGTGCGCCTGCCTCTGGTTTATCACATGCAAGAGGAAGTGCAGTAGCTAACGGAGATGAAGGAAAATAAAGCTCTTTCACATCGTTAAGAAGCAGAATTTGGGTAAAGAGAAACTCAGTGTACAACCCTGAGGTACCTTCACTGGGCTGAGTGCCAGGTCAGAAAATACAACCAAAACAAATCCCCAAACCAAACCATCGCCACCTTACCTCAATAGTGATGTCCCTGAGTGGCTGACGGGTGCTCAGAGCTTTGGGGTATCCATCTGACTGCACTGCTATGGGCTGGAAGGAATGTCCTTTAGAAGCCATTTCCCCACCATCACCACCTGTCCCAACACAACTGCTCTGGGTGAACAAATTCAAAAGGCTCAAACCTCCCTGCCTACCCCATGGGAAATAAACGCCACCTTACAGCCCATACACCTCTCAGTGGGCACCCACGTTCATTTCGCCCCATCGCTCAGCTCCTAAAGCAAAGAAAACTCATCCAACATCAAACCTGGAAGAGATCCACAGCCGAGACATGAGACAGAATCAAAGGATCACTTATAGAATCACTAAGGTTGGAAAGACCACTGAAGTCACTCAGTCCAACCATCAACCCGTGCCTGCGACTGCTCAGATTGGTCAAAGGTGACACCTTCCATCTCAGCCATCAACACGTGAATCATTTCAACCCCAACTCCGAGGCCAAAAAAAGTCACATTTAAAGCATTTATTTTGAAAAATAAAATACAAAAGGTCATTGAATTGTAATTATACATGTCATTTATCTTTTTTTTTTTTCTTTTTTTTTTTTTTTTTTTAAATAAAAGATATTTAAACCATTTCCACATGTCGATAAAACAAAACTGTTCCACCAAAAAAAAACCGTTTAGGACAAGCACAGACCACTCCTCTGAAAGGTTCATACACTGAAAACCAAACTGCTAAAGGGAGAAAAAAGTAAAATAAAAGACCCTTGAGGATGGAGGCTTGGGATTGAGACGACAGAAGAGCAATTGCAGACACAGGCGTTGTTCTGCGTTTCTGAAGACCTCAAAAGTAGTTGTTTACATGTAATACGGTTCTACATTTAACAGTGACTTTTTTAGTATTTTTTTTTTTTTTTAAACAGGTTTGCATGCGCTCACAACAACAAAACCTCGAACATAAAGACGAGAGCACGAAAGTAATGGGGAGAGAACCGTGAGAAAAGCAGGCCATGAGCAGTACACCTCATTGATCTGAGTGGGACCGTCCTTGTAACATCACTTCCATTGAGAAGGCAGCAGTGTTCTTCTAAAGAAAAAGAAAAAAAAAAATCAGGTTTTTGGGGGGTCAATGTAGTATTGTTTTTAATCCTTTACAGCATATTACATTTATGGCAATAGTGCGTAATTACAAGCAACCACCATCATCTCAGTGTGTGAAGTTACTGTTAAACAAAGTCGATCCATTAGGAGCTGCCTTTTCAGTCTGCTATCAGACTTCTTCCTATTTAGGCACAACTCTGAACTTCCTCTTGCATTCAAAGCACTCAAGGAGGTGGGCTGCATCTACGCACTGACAGCATCTCTTCCATCACAACGTACGAGTGCTAATTACTGCTGGGAAGTTAATTTGGTTTCTCAGAAATCAGACGGTTTTAGAAATATTTGTTTTAAATACCTTTTTGAAAGATGTAATTGGCAACGTGAAGTAGTCATTTTAACGTTGTCTGCATGAGAACATTATGGTTTCCCTATCAATTCCAAAATAAACATCTGCAATTAAGCTTTGTAAAACATTTATATCCATTATTTCTGATTGGCATGACACTGGCTATATTTAGGGCTACAGAAGAAGCTCTATCTGCAGCCACATATTCCTATCTACATGGGCTACATTCAAGCAGCATACTGCTTTTGGATGTAGAAGCATGCAACCAGTTCAAGTGCTATAAACTGCAATGGGCCATGCAGAACTGCACGGTTACTCTTAAACCACAAACTGTGCTTCTGTAGCTCTCACCACTGCAACTTACCTCAATGTCATTTTACAGATTCAGAACCAAGAGCTCTGTTTTCATGTTTCTCTTACTCAGAATCTTGAGTGGAGTTAAGTAAGCTTAAAAAGATCACTTCAACTACACCAAGAACAGCAACTGAACAAGACTACAGGCATTTCTATTACCTTCTGTGCAAGAAATATCCATTGCGTCTTCTATTCCATGGGTTCAGTCTGTTAAGTAAATAATTAAGATAAAATGAGCAATATTCCATTAGAGAAAAAGGCAGCAGCAGCACCAGGGCGCCATTCAGCTGTTTGGCCACATCACATTAATTTTATCTTTAGCGTGATATTAAAGCAGAATATTTCTTCAGAATTAATTTCACCTCCAGTTTCAGCATCTATATTTTAAAGAAGCCTCCATTTCAAAAAGGTTGGCTTTGCTTTTTGCAACAATCTTACTTTGGATCAATCTGCTGAGAACGAGGTAAATACTGCAGTCACAGCACGCTGTGTAACTTCACCTCCTGATCTGTAGGAGATTCCCATTTTGCACCTTTCCTATTATAGATGGCAAGATGACACTTGCTAAAAACACTGGACCGTGTCTTCTGACACAACACAAGATAACTGGAAAATATAATGTAATCTAATGGATGCTGCAGGCAGATGAAGGATAATTTGTTTTGCCAGCAGACCATCATTACGCTGCACGCTAAGCTTTCAAGATAGCTCATCCCTGCATTTGCCAGAAATCCTTATCAGCAATATTTCATCTTTTTGTTCTGACACACCCTAGGTTTGCAGCCAGATACGCTGCAGACGATCTTGAAATAAACAAAATAATTGCATTTGAAAGCATTATGAAATAACTGCAGCACACTTCCTCAGTACAATTTGCTAACAACAACTCTTAAGCAGCACATACTGAAACAGTTTTCTTGCCACTAAGCTGCACAGACAAATTGGCCAGCAGTTGAGAGTGAACAATGCTGTGAGCAACAGCACACTTAGCTGCGTGGTGCCAGATCCTTAATGGTGCTGTTCTATTAGCTGAGCACAACCAGCAAAGCGCGAGCGCTGACTGTTTGGAGGGTGAGAGCACACAAACGTCCAGTAAGAGTGCAAAGCCCATATCAGAGATCACACACAGGTTTATCAGAAAGACTTGGTGTCCACAGCAAAAAGCTATGTTCCAAAAACATGAGACAGACACTACAGCTATTCGACTTCACTGATCCACGTTCATTTTATCTTGCCACGAGACCTCCTTTCTACTGTCTTCTTTGGCTGGAACAAAAGAAACCAGTTTTCCTTTTTAATAAGCTGATCTTCATTTGGAAGGTCTGAAGAAGTCACAATGCCTTGTCTGTGCATGGCACATTCTGTGTGTTTCTGAACCCTTACACCAACAGAAGTCATTTCCAAAGAGTCTTTTCCCAACGTTTCAAGACAGCTTGCACCCACTGTCAATCACTTGAGTTAATACAGGCTGCTTACATTTACATCCTCAATGAGTTTCTGTACTGTCTGCATCATCACTGATGGATACAAAAATATAAAGAAATACAAGCACTGTAGATAACGTGCCTACTTTGGTCACAAAGATCACAGTAACTCTAAAGGCTTTTGTTGAGGCTAATGAGAGGTGAGCGCATCTCTCACTCTACAGCTGCTGGAAAATTTGGAGGCAGAGAGCCCTTACAAGGCTTCCTCTCCCAGTTTTGCAAAGCCATGCCCCTGGACATGCAGGACAAGTTGGAAGGGGAAAAAAAAAACAGAAAAACAAATATTTTTCTACTTAGCTTTACTTGAACACACCCTGAGACAACAGCAGGGACGAGCCACTTCCTGTTTTTCCTATCTAAGCACAACACAGAGCACTTTAAACAGCACTTGGACATTTAGTATCAATTAACAGCTTGCACAAATGATAATTTTGGTTTGTTTTGCCAGATACAGCAGCACGTTTTCTTTCTTTTAAAGCCTCATTATTTCTGCTATCTGTGCCGTATTTGCTTTAAACCTTTCAGTGCACAGCAACAAAAGGTGATATTCCTCTACAAGTAGCAACTTGATCTAAGTAAGAAAATATACAAAATGCCTCTAGTTTCATGGCAGCCTTCAGTCAGCTGAGGACTGCAGGCTCCACAGTATTACTAACATGAGAGTTCAAAAAAAAGCCTTAGGGCAGCTGAGTGAAAGACTGGGAGCAAGGGGGATGCAATTCCATGGAAAAGCTGTTCACAGCCTTTCATTCAAAACCCAACAGAAAATCAGAAGTATGAAGTGTTTATAAGGCTGTTTTCACAGTGGCTCGCTGCTGTTCCCACAGAAAGGAAATTAACTGAGCACTGTACCTGTGGCGCTTCTTTAAGGAAGTCAGGAAGCTGAAATTCACCTTTAAAGACCTGGGGGAATAAAGAACAAAACAATTTACTATTCCAAGCCAGCACTCACTGATGCTTGAAACTTTGAGATTGGTAAAGAAAGAAAAAATAAAAAAAAAAAAAGAAATTATTCTGGGTTATCAATAGTCAGCAATGCTACATCAGACTGCCTGCGAACTTTCCGTTCCTACACACTTATGTTTTATAGCTTCAAAACTTGACCAATGTCACTCACACAAACAGAATTATTGCTCTCGGACAAACGCAACTCCCACAAAGTCTGGGAAAGCTCATAACGACTTCAGCAGTAATGGCCAACACTCAGCATCTCCTTTATCCCATTTCACACACATCCACCCCTTCATTTACACACCCAGGTCTGTTAGAAAGTTCCAGCCAGCAACTCCCATGTTCCTGGGTTCCTACAGCTGCAACCTCACCACCAGCCTTACTTTATGACAGTTTGTCATGACCACAATTCCCCACCTTTTAGAGCATAACATCACTGCTGAAACACTGCACTGGAGAAGCAGCGAGCAGTAAATATTCTCAGACGTACCGAGAGCCACACCAAACAACTGCTCCCACTATCTGACCAATTAGGAAATAAATTGCTGATGGATCATCTTCTCTCCTGAGGACGCTTCTTCAAAGCTGTTTGCTTCTGAGATCAAACTGGAACACATTCCAAAGGGAAGAAAAAAAAGAAAGAAAAAAAAAAGGTTCTGGATTTGACAAAAATAAGTAGAATGGAAGAGTTTTACCACCGGCCTTCTTGCTGAACCAAAAAGAATGAACACCCCAACGTCAGCGGTTTTTGTGCGGCTGTAATCACATACAACCAAAATCCACAAACCTACTTAGAAATCCTACAAAGCCACACCACGGCAACAGAGCTGCTCCAACGCATGCCTCTGAGTTGAGATGCCTGGTTTGCAAGCTGCTTCAAAGGAAGACAACTCAGGAACTCCAGGCACGCTTATTAGCAACATCCGCTTTCCCTGCCTTGCTCTGCACAGACAACCAGAGCCTGAAGACCATTTGGTCAGTGCCCTGCTGCGGCCCACAGCTGCTGTGTCAGCTTCGAGTTTCCTGCCTGTAGGGCTGCTCACCCCAAAGCACATCTGCAGCATTAAACCTCACGCATGACTCATGTGCAGGGATGGAGGAGCTGGAAGCTCTCCTTGCTCTTTATCACTAGGCTAAACACATCCAAACAGCCAGCCCCAACATTAGGGCAGGAATTACTATACATGTACTACACAGAATGCTGCTCCTTCTGATATCTCATAGAAATAGAAAGACTGACTCAGCGATGGGCAAAGCTTTCATTTACATTCAGTTTGGGGATACAGTCATTCCCATGGTAACCTTAATGAAAGCCACACCGGTCAAGAATTCAGCATGTGGCTTATGGAGCCTGGATACACAATAAAGGGTTATAAATAAAGAAGGGTATTTCATATCTTAGGCTTCTAAGCAGAACATTAGGATTCATGCTACATTCTGGAAGTGGACATTACAAATTAACAAAGCCACCACATAAAAATGCTACAGAACGACCTGGGCAAAGCTCAGTGGAAATGCAATCCGTGATCAGCTTTGTGCCAGAGCTGGAGGGAGCAGACAGCCTTCACTCCAGGTCTATTGGAATCCACTGCAGTTGTCAGCTGAGCATTTTTAACAACAGTAATACTGATGACGATGCTATATTGTGGTTTGTTCAAAAGAGAAGTGACCAAAACCACATTTTTCACTCTAGAGGACTGTTTCTGTTTTCCGCTCCTGCAAATATGATTTAATTCTAATATAAATACATATCTAAAATACGTATTTTTTTTCTCTGCTCTAAAAGCCTTCCCACTGTAACGCCCTTTTACTCTTATTAAGCATCAGTAGAAGATAGGCAAAGCTATCAACCCAACAGCAGCATTAAGAAAAATGACACAAGTATCACAGCCTGGAAAAGTAAGATGTTTCAGAGGCATTTGATTGTATTGACACAAAATATCCCCATTGCACATCATACTCATAACAAGCCTGAGAAGCTGCTGCTAGATTAGGCTTAAGACAACTGTATGCAATTCTCATTCAAAAGCAATATTATCTAGAGTTCTGGTTTAGTCAGGATTGAGACTGCATACAAACTAGTTTAAAGTAGTTCCAAAAATGGCGAGTGGTCCCTTCTGAATGAACAACCAGGGATCAACCGCAATCCGAGATTCGCAGAACAATGACTCCACTTGCAGCCAAAGAAATTAAGAGGTTTCAGATTCAAAATTCTTTTCAGGCCAGTTTCTAACTCTAAAACACATTATTTGGAGTGTGGCAGCACAGAGGCTGAAGCAGGATATTGCAATGGTTTCCATTCCAAGCAAGAATTCAGTAGAATAGGGTTGTGTTTACTATTTCTAAGGGAATTATTTTGCAAGCCCAAGTGGATTTCCAAAGGGGAAGAGAGAATAATCTGAAGTCCAAGTCAGACTGCAGTTCACTGTTTGCATTATTCAAACCTACTTAAAAAGAAAAATCCCAAAATGTTCTTACAGCTGAACTAAATGCATCTTCGTTCTCAAAAAGACATCAGAAAAAAGCAATTCAGTTATCCAAGAATGCCCTCAGAAATACACAAGGAAAGCCAAGAGAACGGAAGGAGAAGAGCAACCTACATGGCAACAAAGTTTTCAGACAGGCCACTGCATGTCCACCAAGAGGCAGTTTGCAGCCCGACTTCATCTCGCACCTTGCTTGTTAATGGCCTTATGCCTTTGTAAGCACACAGCTGTGGAGCTGGTAAAAAACAAAGCAAAACTTGAAGCGTAACTCCAGAGAACAGCTGTGCGGTTGGGAATCTCCAGGCTGGAAGCAATACTCACTAAACGTGCTATTAAGGAAAGAGAAAGAGAATGCCCCATCCTGGATGCAGCTCTGGGCAGCCTGGTGTGGTGGTTGGTGACCCTGCACATAGCAGGGGGTTGAAACAAGCCGAGCATGGTGGCCCTTTTCAACCCAGGCCATTCTGTGATTCTATGATATTGAGGAATTATGTTCTGTTGGTAGTCCTACAACCAACAACAACAACAAAAAAAAACCACTATTTTTTATTTTAAATATCAGACAATACTCAAAAAGCCCACTGCCTTTATGCTTACTGTAAGCCAACTAGCATAAATGGAGATGGATGGCTTTCTTCTCCTCAGGCCACTCGAGCAGCCCCTCATTACTGCATACCTCTACAACTACACACATTTGACAGCATAAGTAATTATGCAGCAGCACAGACTCACTTCACACCCTTTATCACAGACTGCATCTGGGGTTTTAAAGACAGAATCAAAGTCCTGAAATCGTGCTCCTCCTGGACGCTTCGACACTTAACAGCAAGAGGCATTTCCTCACAATTTAATATGGGCACGAAACAGGAGCTTATAGAAATCTGTTTTCCTGTAGATGTTAACTGCAGAAAATACCATCAACAGAACATAAAACAGAGACAGATAACAGCTTTCAGATGCTAAAAAGCAACGTATATTCAAACAGCCATGATGAAAACCATAACTTCTTCCACAGTTCTGTACATTTCCGTCCCTCCATCTCTGCAGGGCAAGCATCACAGCCTCATGAAATAAACGACTGGAATATGTATTCCTAGTGCTCAAACTCATTCAGAGGGAAGCGCGTGCCAAAGAAAATCTGATGTAAGCCATTGCAGATGTGAAAGGAGAGCGCTTGGCCAACCATAACACAACAACACGCCAGCTTCTGCAGGGCAGCATCAGAGCTGTGCAGCTACAAGCTGCCCTCCCACCTCTGGTGTGTTCTGTGACACTGCTGCTCAAGCTTCCACACACACTCCTGTTGATAAGGACGGATCAGACTCTGCCTATGTGGGGTGATTCTACTGTAATATTTCAGCATACAGTGACTGAGCTTCCAGTTCAGGCAGTTTGTTTCCATTTTCTGCTTCATTTACATAGGAACACTCATTTTAGCAACAAGATGCTCATTTCCTTTATGTTCAGGGTGTAGAATTTGGTAAACTCTATGGAAGAAAAAAAAAAAAGTGGTTTGTACCTATAAGGAATGGACAATGACTGTCACAAAATGAACAGACCAGCAACAGCACAGTGGTACTCAGAGCTCCACCTCTGCCCTCTGCTCCATCTCTGAGATAAGCAGTGTCACACAGGACAGTACAGTCAGCTCTGACAAAAAGCTAACAAGAAGTTAATGGCTTTGTTTGTGAGAACCTCAGAAATCTGCTAGATTTGTACTCCACAAGCACAGACACTCACAAAGACACCATATTCCATAACAGCACGCTGCACACTGCACATTGGAGACCATCAGGCAAAGAGATGGAGCTGCTTCAGGCCTTCTTACTTCCTAAAACCAAACCAGAACTAACATGGTAGAGTATAAACACCAGTAACGTCTTCATGGTTTTGTGCTGTTGGAAAACCAACCCCAGCCCTTTGTGTCCAGATCAGTAACATTAAAGTGAAAAACCCAAGTTCAGCAGAAAGCATTACCTTCCTGCATTACCTGCAAGCACACAGAAATTCTTCGACAAGCACTGTCCTTTAGATGGTGAGAATCATCATTTTACTTCCAGACTGAAGGGAAAAAATATTTAAACCTGCACATACGTAAGTCGCCAGAAGGGGGACAGAAGAAGAGGAAAATTAAAACCAACAGGATTTAACTGCTTGGAAAGCTTAGGGGAAATTAACAGCATCGTGCCAACCATTCCCTTCCATTTTCCCCAGTAACAGTCCTATCATGCTTTGGGCAAACTTCACACTGTTGGTTCAGCCACCACCATCAGCAGCTCTGAAATTACTGACATTTTCAATACTGAGCATTAATCTCATCTGCAGCCTCTCCAAGGAGTGACAAATTTTGCTCAGTTATACCACGGCTGGTATGACATAGCATAAATGCAGAAATGCATGTAGCATTTAATCACAGCATCACAGAACAAAGACATCTTGCAGCTTAATTTTGTAGAAGACAATTTAAAAAGATTCCAAATGGACAACAAACTCCTAGAGCTGTCCTAGGAGTACAGTCACAGAACTCCGAGCTGTCTGCGAGTTTGTTTGGCATCCTAGGCTGGTTGTTGCATTTTTCATCCCATTTATCTGTATGTTTTTGTATGTACAGTATTAAAATGATGGTAGAATCATAGAATGGCTTGGGTTGGAAGGGACTCGGAGCAAGAGCTCTCTTTAACAATGAGAGAAAAGTTGTTTCTTTAACACACCTAATAGCAATGAACTGGATGACCCAGTGCTGTTCCATCGCTGTTTAGGTGGAGCCACAATCTCCCTGCCAGTAACTTCAGTGATGCTGGGCTTCCACCCTGTTGTTGCAACTTCCACAGTCAAATTAACGCCCGCATTACATACCCCAAAAAACTGAACAACTCCTTCCCCATCTCCAAAAACAAAACCACCAGTCCTTCCCCATACTCCTGCTCTCTGCTTGCCAGAATGAAGCAGCTTCTTCCATCCCAAGTGCTAGCTCACACCACACTGACCTGATTCCAAAACAACAACATGAGCAGAGAGAAGCAGAAGTCAGATACCTCACGTTAGCCCAGGTCAGTCACACTAAGGGTTACCATTCCAACACAGCACTGTTCAGCTTCACGAGTCTAAACTTCTTTAAAATCTGTTTTCAATGAATAAAGTTCAAGTTCTGTACTTGGCTTAAAATTCTCAGAGACCACAAAATACAAATATAACAGAGCTGCTTCCAAAAAAGTTAGGCAATAAACAGTTGCTTGCAAGATTTATATGTATTATTATGACTGAAAAATAGCTGGAAATATTTCATTTGGACAGCTTCACCTCCAGCAACCCGTGCACTACAAAGCACTGAAAAGCTATCCCAGGTGAAGAAGTTTTAAGACAGCAAGATCAAAATCATCAAGTGACTTACAAATATTGACTCCTTCTCTAAGCTGAAGTGTCAAGAAATAAACAAGCATAACATTGCAGAAGAAGTGGACGTTCCCAGGGCAGTCTAAGCTACCTGTGATGGGCACATGAGGACACAGCACAGCTCCCTTCCAGCCTTTCCCAAACACCTTTAACTTGTTTGGAAACACGCTCCCCATCCCCAAACATAAAAAAGTTGTGGGGAAACAAAACAAAACACAGCATTTCCCAGGGATGAGTCAGATCCCACTGATCACCAAGCAGGATATTAGTTATTTCCATGAGGGCCAGCATTTTGGCAGGTTTCTGTGCAAGATGCCTGATGGCCAGGAAGCTTGACAGTGTAAAAATATTTAAATTGTATCAATAAGAGATAATCAACTTTGTATTATTGAATTACAGTGTAAATTTTCATCCAAGTCACTGTTTTTCAGTATGCTTTCATAGGCACATGAAGATTTTGTGTTCCGTTCTGAGCTAACAGCTATTAAATAGTCAACCTACCATCATCTAATGCACTGCTAACTGTTCTATAAGGGCTTTTCAGAGAGGGCTCCTAAAAAGAGGATGCAAAATGTTTGAAGATTACACAAAACACTGTTTTCTTCTCAGCAAAGTGCACCGACCAGTTTTTAAATATCAGAACACTGGTGAAAGACAGTCCTTTCATATTGTTTAATTCAATTTTTCCAGTGCTGACTTTGCTGCTGCAGCAGAAGTCACCTTCTTTTAATACAGTATACATTCTCCAAAGGACAGAATTGAAAAGTTAATTATTCTTATTCCAAACAATGGTAATGAGCTTTTCAATGGATACCTCCAGGGGTAAACAGTTGTATAGCTGAACTATTCAAATTCCAGCTACATTAAATTCAGGCTAAAATCCTCGTGTTTAGGTTAATCAGCACCAGACTTTCCACCATCTTTTGTTTGTTCTACAAAGGAACAGCAAAGAATTGGAGCATTTGATATTCTGGTCATCCTGGGCTATTTTCCATTGGTGACTTTGCAAATTCACTCACGTATTTGGAGGACAATTTTGTGAAAGAGCATATCCCAAACCTCATATATAACAAGTTGAGCTCATGAATCAAGTTCAATAATGGGGCAAGACAGCTAGCTTTTTTCCAGGACTATCCGGACAGTTCTCAAGAGATTCAGTTACACACAGCAAAGAACACAACACAAACCTGTTGGCTGGGAGAAAGGAAGAGTGAAATGGAAGATGAACAAGAGCTGGACTTCCAGTCCTATGGAATTCTGCCCTTCACAGCAAGGAGGGCATTAGAAGGTATTGGAAATGGATTGGAGGAATCTTTTACTCCAGAGCTCACCTCCATTTGGGCAACAAATCAAACACAAAAATGCCTTACCCTTCTGGTGTTTTCCACAACTTTCTGATCTGGCTTCCCATAGTTTGGTGGGTTGGCATACGGATCATAGCCCAGTTTTGCTAGCATGGGTGCGATCACCGGCATGTCCTGCAGAACATCAGCAGGGATCTTCCCAACCCACTTGGACAGCGCTTCCACATTGACTGGCTTGATGACTTGGTCAGTAGATCTTTCAACTCTGCAGAGGGAGAAGGAAAGGTTATATTTTGCACTTCCTTCTTCACTGGCAGCAAGACCTTAATGATTTTTTTTCCCCCCCTTTCCTCCTCTTTCTCAAGATTTCCCGTTTCCACGGGGCTGGTGGGAAGTTTTACTACACAAGGCTAAAACAAGAATGATCAACACAACATCCACACATGCTTTCCGACTTAGGCCTTCAGAGAGAACTGTGAAATAGCAAGTGAGAAGCACACACACACACCTACATACAAAGCTGTTTTCCCACTGAACTACTCCCACATTTGCTGTTTCGTTGTCTTAATTGCTCTTGAAAGTTGTATTCTAAATTCAAACCCATGTGTCATTTATTCTTCCCCTCATATTGTGACTAAACTCTTTATTTTCTTTAATGGGACACACATAACATTTCCAGAGGCACTTCTGAATATCACACCATCTTCACATGACACTCAAATGAAAGATGCTTCATGAAAAGACCAGTGGATCTGACAGAAATAAAGGCTGTCATCATATTTTCTACAATTACTTTAACTGACCGATGGTCAGACAGTTCTTAAAGGAAGCAAGTGAATGATCCTAAGTGTCACACGTACTGTACGCATAAAATAGTTTGTTGCTCATTTAAATCAGCCATCCAAGTTTCATCTTTCATTCCTGCACCCCACTTATTGTTGTGTGGACCTTTTTTTTTTGTTTCATTTTTTTAAAGGAAGCAATCTGGCACTGCTTTGCTTTCCCACGTTCCTTGCTTCTTTTAGATTAGAAGATGCCAAATCCTCTCACGGGCCAAAAGCACTCGGAGCACACACAGCAATCTGAGGCTCTCAGACTTTGTTCTGAACTCAGAGCACACAAGGATTCAGGATGTCAAGGCTCATCTTTCCTTTAAGGCAGGTTAAGATCAGATCTGTGTACACAGAACGCCCAGAGGAACACTGACATTTGCATTACAAGTAATGCTGTGAGGTGTGCCTGACAAGAATTTAATCTCAAAAAGCTCTAGCACACAGAAAACAAAATTAAAAGCGGCGTACAAAGGATAACAGCACCACCTCATCTGCATGAGACAAAGCAAAAGAATACAAAGATTCAAATTAACACTCCGGCAGCTGATTCTTCAGTTACACAGCAGCATGTGAGAAAACCTTCTGAGAAAAACACTCCTTAAATCTTCCCAACAGTTTGTGAGATGAGGAGCCTGAAGTCAGGCGGCTCCTTCTAAGCTGAGCCCAAAATCTCTTCACCAAAGCTGTGAGTTTGGCCATCTTCAGTAGCAGCACAGAACGGCTTTGGTTGGAAGGGACCTTAAAGATCATCGAGCTCTGACTGCAGCTCGGGCTGACTGCCCCACACGGCCTGGGCCACCTCCACGGATGGGCACCCACAGCCTCTGCACAAAGTAAGGACGATGCTGGGATAAGCAGCACTGGGTTTGGCCAACAGCTCACTGGAACCCCAAAGCGTAAGTGCTATGCAGCAACTCGGTCCCAAATTAGTACACATATGGATATCTTGTCCTGAAGCAAAAGCACATTTCAAATGTGCACGCTGTCCCCCACTGACATTTCAATCCTTGGTAACAATAAGCTCAGCACAAAGCAATTCCCAGTGGTGACAGACAGACAGGCGGCTGCAGAGCTGCTCCTCGGAGCTCACCCAGAAATACAGCACTGCACATTCAGTCCTCTGCTGAAATCCTTCACTGTCCTGTCACTTCAGATGGGAAGAAATACAGCAGTTACTGGGGAAGACCCTTCAGACCAAAGAACATCAGAGGACAATGGAGGGAAGAGGGGGGGGACGGGACAGGAGGGAGGAAGAAAAACATCACAACAAAACAAAACAAGAAAACACAGCAAGCCTTGGCAGATCTGATTGTGTATGCATGTGGCAAACACTGCCTGGTCAGGTTCCATGCACAACTGCAGGAACAGGCTGAGTTCTGAGAGCAGCTGGTAACCCCAACCACTTCCACCACTGTCCTCCATTACAGTGGAGAAAAGGTATTCACTAAAAATATATTCTGAAGTAATTTTGCCTAGACAGCTATTTTCACAATAAGCCCAATAAAAATGCTATTAAAGAGTTGACAGCTCTTTGCATCAGTGGTCACCACAGCTGTTTTCAGTTAGCAGGCAAATGCCAGAGCTATATTAACAATGCTCATTATAGCACGCAGCCCAGCCATAACATTCCTCCAGCAGAACAGCCACGCTGGCAATTACTTCAAACAGGTTCTGCACTACTGCTCATTCCGTGGTGCACATCCTTAACACCTTGCAGCATTCCTCAAGTAAGAAGCAAAAGAAGGAGGGAGGAATAATAAAAAAGAAAAGCAGTGAGAGTAGGGCTGGGTCAGCAGAAATCAGAGATTGCTGAGCAAAGACACAGAACGGCCAACAGTCTCCTTGAATCAAGCAGCTAGGGGGAAGACATGAAGTCAGATTCTTAAGTACGAACTGTCCAGTGCCTCACACTGCTATTGAAAGGCTATTGCATAAGAGCTGCTGAGTTTGGAGTAAGAGAAAATTCAGACTGTTCACTTCCTGAAGAGTTGTGCAGGTCACCTGGTGGCTGGCTTAGCTAGGGAAGAGAAGTAATGTGCTTTGAGGCCGTGCACAGCTGCTAATAAAGCACCTCACACTGACCCAGAGCCCCATTCCAACACACATTGCATATCACAGTACTGGGTAACAGCATTGCTGCAAGATCTTATTGAGGCACTGCGATTCCTTTCTTGAAGTGCCTGCAAGCAATCCAAGGCCACAAGCACTTAACAAATTTCCAAAACCCTGCAGCAGTTCTAACACCTCCAGCCATCCCATGGGGGGGCCTTTCTGCCCCATCCAACACCTTGCAGGACATGGGGAAACAGCTTAACCCAGCACTTCCTTTCCCTGCTGTGCTACGAGGCCAGCACTACTAAAGCAATGTCACACTCAGATACAGATTGCTTGGTCCTTGCGAAATGCTTCTCCTGCCAGTGAAACTGTAATGTAATTTGAGTGATCTGATTTGAACACACCGTTACAGAACAGCTTGAAGTACATGGCAGAGGGCTCCGTGAGAAGGGAAAGTTGCACATAACAGATAGCTCTGTTCTGAATTTCCTCAGATGATCTCTGAGGGCATCTTCAGCGCTGCCCTTTGAAAAGGCAGGTGGGAGAAAGCTATGGGCAGAGCGCGGAGCCAGGCCTGGAGTTGGCTGCTTCAGCTGAAAGAAGGTGATATTCACACACTGCAGCATGGAACAGTCCCAGATAAACCTCAAAGGAAACTCTACGCTGCAAGAGAACAATGCAGAATTGAACCTGAGCCTGGAACTCAGCACCTGAGGCCATAAGAAATTTGGCTGCAGCTGAGAATGTGCCAAATGCAACCTGATAGAGGGAAAACGCTGCGAGGTGTATTTTGTTCAGCTGTCAAAATCTGATAAGCCGTGGCACAGCCCTTGAAGCTCACAGTAAATTGTGTGGGAAGGATCCTTGTGCAAAGCAGCTCCAGGGCAGCGAGGAGATGGGGATGTCAATGGGGTACAACTGCTGCAAGGAAACCAGACTGGGGAACCTCGTGCTTCCCTTACTCAACTTCAATCAGCATCATTTAATGACATGAAACAGACGTGCAAGTTACAGAATTTCATAGGCACTCTTTGTTCTACAACCCTCTAAAGACTGAGTCACTGAAATCATTATCAAATTATAAAGGTCTCTTGCAACTGGAAACCAAATCTCGCCATGTATTTCAAGGGTATTTGATTAGATAGAAACACCACAGACATAACATTAACGTCCCCTCTTTCCCCTATTGCCAAAACCTCCTGAAATAACAAATCATTTCCATGTATCACCTTGCAAGAAATAGCAAAAGCATCCAATTCCATCAACAAACTCAACTGAGGGTCCCACAGAAAAGAATGCTTTGAGACCAATTGATGATTGGACAAGATGACCACACAGGTCTTCTCTATTAACAATTCTACAGCTCCATTCAGTGGGCACCGTGGTGATGGGCTGATGGTTGGACTGGACACTCAGTGGTGTTTTCCAACCTTCATGATGCAATGATCCTATGATTCTAAGTATGAAATTTCAAAGTTTGAATTGGGAACATTCCCAAAGTCACGTTTTACTTTCAGCACTACATTCTCCTAACTTTTAGGGATGTGAACAAATATTCTCAACTCCTCACATCCCATCCCACCAGATCCAGCAAGAAATACTACTTGAAACCGTGTGAACTCCGTAAGGCTACTGAGTTTTATAGTCTAGAGGCCCATTAATTTTTACAAACCCTGATCTGTGAGCTGTAAAGCAGCAATAATTTAGTAGAAAAAGGCCTTCTGCACGGCTGTTTTTACAGGACACTTAACAGAGCTTGGCAACACCTATTTATGGCAGTAAAAGACAGCCTGCTCCCCCTTCAGCCATCATTGTGAAGCAGTAACACAGTACAGATAGCAGAAGAGTGCAGGCACAGATACAGCCTGCAGAGACATACAGCAGCACGCTGCTCTGCATTAACACCATCTGAAAGCTTCCATCTGCTAACAAATAAGACTGCAAAAAAAACAACAAACAAACAAACCACAATATGGTTGGGATGCCTTCTTGATAGCAGCATCCAATTTTATCACTGCTTTCAATCATAACCCCCTACAATGTATTAAAAACCCCACACAACAAGAGCAGACACTTCCCTGTGTAAAGAAAAAAACGGCTTCCCACTTTTCTCTCTCAAAACTTCAGCTTTAGCTGAAATCCCAGCCCATGCTGCTGAGCACGGTGCCTCTGCTCCTCCAATGCACTTGGTCAGTGCTGAACAGCAAAAAGCAGAAGTCAGGGGATTTAACTGTGCAGGTCTTGCTAGAAAATGGCTCTTTAATCAACACTTTAGAACTGTAAGTGACATGCGATCTGTCAGATCGATCTGCAACAGCAAAAAGAGAGAAAAAGCCAAAAATGCAAAAAAAAAAAAAAAAAAGAAAAAAAAAGAAAAAGAAAAAGAAAAAGCAAACCATACACAACCCAAACACCCCCCTTCGAAATACTGAAGTTTTATAAGCACAGCTGGATTTCTGTTCCTGAAAGCAGTTAGGTCAGACACACAGATGGTGTGACTGACTGCTAAGATTTGCCTCCAACGAGGTTAATTTTACTCAGTGCTCGTCCTCAGAGGAGCGCACGCCAACAGAAGCGCATGCCAATTCTGCTTTCTATTTTGTTGGAACAATTTCTCAAGTTTCCTGGAAGAGTACGTCCTTGGCAAATGCACCTCAAAGGCCATTCCTGCATTGACAACAATAATTAAGTTCCTGAAATCACATGGGCGATCTCGCTGGGACTAACAGTGCCAGTCTAGACAAAAATGGCCTGAGTTCATGTTGGAAAAGCAAAGCTCTGCTGGGGGAAAGGCTGGTGCTCGATGTCCAAATTCAAGTTAGACTGACCTTAAAGTATGAGCTACTTCACTGGGTCCACACATATATGTTAGAGCGACAACTGCTCAGAGTTCACCCAAGACTGCAAAGCAACAATTGACAGTCATTCCTATTTGGCATACAATCTGCACCACAGATATCACTAGCTACTAAAGAACTGAGTTATGACTGGTCTTTCACATGCAAAAGGCCCTTATTTTATCTTTCAGAGCAGTAACAGACAAGAGAGGAACGCTCATACTCACTTGGAAAGAGAAACACCCCCGGCTTTTCCAATCATTTCTTCGTGGTGCAGCACTGCTTGGTTCCACGGGATGCGGAGGAACTTTAAGAGAGTTCTCATCCACCTTTCAGGATGCAATACAAGCTGTTCATAATGTACCAGCATACATCTTTCAAAGCCAACCTCCATACACTGGTTATACATAGTTTCTATAGCACGATTCCACTTGGTCAAACAGTCTCTGTAGCTGTTGAGGTCAAACCCAGCTATTGTGACTTTTCGAGATATCATGGAATGTACAGATGCACGACCATCCCGTACCATTAGAAGAAATTTGGCATTGGGGAAAATTCTAGCAAGATAAGTTAAGGATTTTAGAGCAAAAGGGTCTTTGTTACACAAATAAGGCGCAGGCTCCCCATGTTTCACGATGATTTCCAATAAAAACGCTTGCATGGCTGAGTCCAGGACCTCATCTGTGACTCCAGCTTCATCCAGCCGGATCTTCTCTTTGCTTGACCTGGCCCACATCTGCTTCACTGCCAGAATTCGTGGGATTACCCTCGTCTCCTCTCCACATCGAATATCCGGATGAGCGTCGAGCATGGCACGCATTAACGTAGTGCCACTTCGAGGTACTCCTCCAATAAATATTAAAGGCATGTCTTTGTTGTAAGCAAAGGTTTTATTGGTGTTTCCATTAGAGGCAGTTCTCACTGTGCTTCTCAGGCCCTCCAGCCGCGCCGGCTGGCTGCGCTCCTCTATGCGGTGGTGGCACTCCATGGCGTGTTGGCCCAAGTAGAACACTGTCACTGAACTGATCACCAGGCACGCCAACAGCAAGTTCTGCTTGAGCTTTCCAACCATTTTGAGCAAGACTGTCGCTTCACAATAAAGAGACCTTCTATTGCAGATTACTTTCTAGTTCACGTGCCATGGAGATCCTGATCCAAAGTAAGTTAGGGTCTGGTGAGAGGGAAAAAAAAGAACTAAATTAACAGCTACAGCAATGCACCAGCACCAGAACTATCTGATGGCATTCAATACAATTAGCGTCTCCTGATGTTGCATCAAGAACTACTAAATGCAACATCTAAAAAACAAAGAGCCAATAATGGAAGTCCTCTTGTCCACCATGGCAGCAAAACAGCCCATAACAAGATTTGTAAGTGTTATTTACACAGAAGTCCTCTGGCATAGTTCAGCACTATATTTGAAAGAATTCCAGCACTGGATAACTTCTGTTACACTCTGCAGTCAAAGACATCATTTGTATGGGACTTTAGAATAGGGAAAAGCAACCATTAAGGCACCTTTGTTCACTAAGTAAGGAGCTTGACATGCTCCACTTCCCTCAGAGAACACAAGATGACAGCAAAAGATGTTTCACAGCAATGTAACAGCATTTGACTGTGAGATTCTCCAGTTTTTGATCATGGGCTTAAAGCAACAAAGAGAATAGTTCCCAATAAGTAGAGGACAAATCCATTTTCATTTCAAGGGGAGCTTTGGTGAAAGAAGTGGACAGTCAAAATGAATTAAGCAAAACCCAAGACTGAAGTTGACCAGGATCAAAACTAAGATCAGCCTTCAATAGCCGAAATACTGAAAAACTGAATAAATCAGAGAGAAAAATCAGCCCTGTTCTCAACCAGAATAGCAGCAGGAAGAGGTAAAGCCTTGTATAATTTCAATGAAGCCTTCCCAGAACAAAGTATATACTGCATCCTACCTTCAATAGGAACTGTGCTCCTTTCAAGCAATGCTGTCAGCTTGCACTTTCAGTTTCTCCTACATCACCTAAACAGATCTGCATTCTTGCTGGGCATGGAGGGGCTGGGAGATGGACCTGATGATCTTAGAGGTCTCTTCCAACCTCACTGATCCCATGACAGCCAGCACCCTCCCCCATCCAAAACATAACACTTGCAATGTGAACGTATTGCATTTTACACAGAGGTTTATGGCAAGTGCTCCCATGACAAATCAAAAGGCAATGGCCAACGCGAGTAAGACAGCTACGCTCCATAAAGCATCCTGGCAGCCACATCCATGAGTTTATAGTTACAGTCAGCCCACGTTTATAGTATGGAATGGAAATACGTGCTGTAAAAAAAATGTTTAACTGTTACATCACAGCAGGACCTCCCTTCTGGTTCTACAATATCACACATAAATCATCCAGGCGGTTTTAAACCCTTACAACTATCACAAAACTATGGAAAAAAGGCAAATCAAGGATAACCTCTCGTCTCTCTCCTGAGGTGCCAACAAAGTCCTACATTAAATCCATTCTCACTCTATGAATTAAGCAGCTGCCATTACCTGGTGACAGAGCGTATCAGCACAGTTCAAAGTGAATTGAGCTACAGCAAAAGTTCTGCTTCCCTCCTGTAAGTTATTTTCACGTAGCTATGGTAGTCTTCTACAATGACAGGCCAATTGAGTGCCCAAAAACAAATGAGACGTGCTGAAATGCAAGGCTTTGCACACCTATTACTAAACATTTTATGACTTTTTTTTAGATCAGCAGTGATGAGAGGATGGTGCCTGAAGCTCCAAAACACCCAAAATCGAAACAAGGTTTTTCACAAGCATCATCTTCTATTTTGGCTCCTTCAAACTGCACCATTTACAGTACAAGTGAGAACCAAAGACCTAATTAGATCACTTAAGCAACGTACATGAGTCTGAACAAAAGCTTTAGATAGAAACAAAAGGTTTAAAATCTGTTGCTGAATTCCAACGCAGACACCTGCAGGAAGGATGAAGAACAAGCCATGACTTACAGTGGGTACCAATGCTTATATCCAACGTGGCTGGGACAGAACTGCTGCCTCAGCTCCCAGCTGCCTTCATCTGCTCACACTGACCTCAACCCTGAACACTTACCTTTTCCATCCCTATTAGTTATTGTACAGACAGCTCCCTTACCTGTGTTCTGCCATCCAACCGTGCTGTGTTTATGGAGACACGAACTAGCCTGAAAACCTACTCTTGCTCTCCGAATCCAAATGAAATTAGCCCTCTAATTGCTACTTTAAACATGAGCTCGCTTTTCAGAGCTGAAACAACTCACTGAGCAGCATGAATCACAGATGCTTTTCATTGTGAGGAGCTCCAAGAGCTGCCGTACTGCCAACGTTTGGATGCCGGCTGCCTCAATGCTTCTCCATCCCCATCAGCAGCAACCCTCAACGTCCAACCCCAACCACCCCACCTCAATGCCACATCTCCACGATTCTGGAACACCTCCAATGATGGTGACTCCCCTCCCTGTGCAGCTGTGCCACCGCAGCACTGCTCTTTGGAGAAGAAATTGCTCCTCATTTCCAACCTGAATCTCCCCTGATGAAACCCACAGCCACCACCTCTTATCCTACAAAGCCTCATTATGCTTCACGTGCTGCTCCCTGCTGAAGAGGTGGCTTAACTCTACCTTAAATACATGGATATAAACAGAAGTACACAGTTCAATCCACAGCTCCACAGCACCGAAAAGCAAAACGTCTCTCCTAAGCAAACTCAGCATGCACACAATTTTCACTTAGGAAAGGAAACTGTTCCACTTAAGCCAGCAAACAACACCCAAAATCTCTTTAAATGCTTTAAGAAACAGAGAAGATTTAGTTAAAAGCGCTCAGAAAAGAGCTAATGCAACAGAAGGACACTTTACTGCAGAGCACACAAGATATGCCAAACATTTACACCAATCCTGATGTTATTTGGTTTGAGTGCATTCCATAAAACTCATTTCCTCAACCATAACTCCCTAAAACAAAACACTGAACCAAAGACCTCCTTCACCTTCCAAACTAAAAACAAACAGGCAAACAACCAACCGTCCCCTGAGAGTGAAGAAGTTCATAGCATCACCGAATGCCCAAAGTTAGGTGGACCCATGAGGACAACCGAGTCCAACTCCAAGTTCAGCAGCTGATCTCTGCAGGAAACAGATCACTGCAGCCATTGGTATTGAAACAACAGAACCAAGCTGAAGAACAAGCAGCAGCAGGGCCGAACAAGTGACCAAAGGCTCAAACACTCCGTCCCTGGGGATGGAGGGATGAGTCACCCTCAGCAGCAAATGCTGTGAGCACCACGGTTTGCCAGTTGGTTTCCTAAATTACCATTGACTGCTCAAAAAGCAGCAATAAAAAAATCCACGTGACACACACAGACATGTGAGAAAACAACCACCAACCAACCGCAAACAGCTTCAATCGATGCAGTAAATGTTGGTAAGCTCAGTGATGCCAAAGGTTGAAAGAGCATAAGCAGACAGAGCTTTGCTGCCCTATGACCTCCCATGCTGCTGTCTACCTGAAAGCAGTGCTTGGAGCATGCAACTGCCATGAAACATAGCAAGACCAAGGTCTTGTGCATCAGGAAACCAACAGAGGAGCTGACGAAACAGCACTGCTCAGCTAACCAACGTGCTCTGCAAGCCAGCAAACTCCCTCCCGGGCCCCAAGATACACATAAAGCTCTTCAAGATAAGTGTGACAGGTGGAAGTGACTGCCCTAACAGCAGCTCACAAATCAACAGACCCCACCTTCGGCCTTCCATGAGTGAGCGCTCTGGATCGCATCAACGCCAACCTGGAGGAGAGCTACAAGTCAATAATGCTCTGTTAGCAGTATCAGCTGACTGCATTTTACAGTCACAGCAAGGCAGTCCGCTGTCCCTTGCAGCATAGAAGTTGAGCTTTGAAAAACAGTGGGCTCTTTATTCCACTAAAGGTACAGCTCACTCTTCATCAAAATAATGAAATGACCAAAAACCAACCAACCAACAACAGAAACACCGCAACATGAGCTGCAGATCAATCAGCAGGTCGTGAATGACAGATAAAAACAAACTCCCAGCAAATATACATGTAACAAAAACACACCGAGATGGGATCCACGCTTTGCAGTACATGAAAGCACAGCTAAGCAGCACTGCATGCAAACTGGATTCACTTCCAGAAAAGTCAGACCTATGAGTCAGCCACAAGATGTTAGCAAAGCAGAATGACCGCTTTGTTTCCTCACTCTGCAC